GTAGGTGCTGAATAAGTGTTTGCTGGGTTGCTGTGTGTCAGGAGCAGAACCTGTGCTGGCATGTTGGGTCGTTTCTTTGCCGGGACCTGCTGTGTGTCTCTGAGGAAACCTGTCCCTATCCTGGGCTCTGCACGCAGGGCCTGGCCCCCCGTCCCCACTCCTCACCCCTGCTCCCGAGCTAGGCTCCCAGCAGAGTGGACTCACTGGAGGCGAACCCTGGCAGACTCCTATTTGCTCTGTGACCACGAGCCGTCCCCTGACTGCGGAGCCGCTCTCTGTGGGAAACGGTTTGGAGCATCTCGTGCAGGCTGTGAGGGGATCGGGCAGCAGAGAGCACTCCACACAGCACCTGGCCCCAGCCACCAGAGGCCGAGTCGCTGTTGAGGTCACAGCTGTGAGGCCACACGGCCCGAGGCTCAGAGTGTGAGGAGGGGGTGGACAGCCAGGGCTCTGAGGGGTGCGTAGGATTCGCCTAACCCCCGCGCCCGCCCAGCTGAGCCCTGTGCTGCTTCGCCCAGAGCAAGGCCACTCGCTTCCTGGACGTGGGTTTTCCACCTGCCACGTGGGGATGAAATGGCACACCTGCTGTCGTTGCTGCCCTAAACACTGGGGACAGCACCGGTGTAGCTTTATGTCCTGCCATGATTATCACAAAGCGGCTGTCACTGGCCTCCCCATAGGCCAGTGTCCCTGTTTCCATCCCTCGGCGTCCCTGTGGCATGGACAGACCCAGAGCCTCCGAGGACGACCAGGGGCCTTGATGCTCAGGGCAGCAGGGAGCCCACCATGGCTCTAGCAGTGGAGCAGCACCGTACTCTATTTGGGAGAGGCGAGGGGGAGAGGCCGGTCGGGAGGTGGGTGGGGGCCGAGTCCACCCACCCAACACAAGCCGCCACCCCCGCCTGCGGATGCTGCATTCGAACCAGCTGGGCTCTCCAGATGTTCCTGGTTTGCCCCCAGATGTGCATCACTGCCCCGTCTCGTCCTCCCGCGGGGTGGGGCTGGGCCCTGGCCCCCGAGGGAGGGGGCACATTTTTGTGGGCTGTGGAATTTGTTTCTTGTATGAAAGCCATGGCGTCCTCCTTGAGAGAGGCCCCAACCGCTGGCCAGTCCTGCCCCTCAGTTTCCCATCAGCAGGACCCCAGGGAACCCCCCAGGCCACTGGGCGAAGGGGCGGCCAGACTGCCCTAGGTGTCAGCCAGCGCCCCCCCCAGTGCCAGCGCTGACCAGGAAACAGGCATCGGGAGGCAAGGTGAGGCACGTGGGCCCGAGGCCCCTGCCCCGGGCTGCCACCACCAAGCCTGCAGGACCTCACTGAAGGGGCCCTTCAAGTGAGAGACCACCGTCCCCATGGGGACAGCACCTTGCCCCCCGGCCCAGCCGCGCCTTCCTCCTGCGCCAGCCCACTTGACCCCCGCCTGACCGGCCCTGGCAGCAGCATCCCCAGAAGCCCCCAGCCAGGTCCTCCCTGGAGCACTCTCTGGCTCTTACTGAGGAAGAGTCACTGAGGGGACGGGGGCATGGGCAGAGGAAGAGGGCACTGCTGTGACTCCAGGCCCGCCCTTCCAGCCTCCACAGGCCGAACTCTCAAAGCCTGCCCCTCACCGGGAGAGGACCCCCCCCCCGGGAGGACCCTCCTGAAATCCTCGCCAGCGTGGATGGGGCTGGGGCTGGGGACACAGGAGGCCTGTGGCTGGGAGCGGCCAGGTGCCGTGGAGGGGCTACAGGACTTTGAAGGATGAGCAGGAGCTTGCCAGACGCGGACAGCCCCTTGCCAACCCACCCCTCCCTCCTTCCTGTCTCCCTGGGGGCAGCCATGGGGGCAGACAGAGGCTGGACCCCAGGACTGGCTGTGCCTGGCGGATGTCCCCTGGGGAGCATGGCAAGAGGGTGGGGAGGAACACAGCCTGCACAGAGGACATTGCCCGCTCCTCGCAGCTGCGCCTGCCCTGCTGCCTCCCCTCCGGGCCTCTTTCTCCCCTGCCCCGGCACGAAGGGTTCCAGGGCCTCCAGCCAGAAGTGGTGGCCTTGCCGAAGTTTGGGCCCTCAGGGTCCCAATGGAGGATGCACCCCTCCTCGGTCAGCAAGAGCTCTCAGGCTGTGCGCGTCCCCCCAGGACAGGAGAGACTGCTGAACAGGCCCATGCCCGCGGCGCAGCTCCGGGCCCCGGTACTCAGGCCCAGCAGCCGCGCCCGTGGCCCTGGGCAGCCCAGCTGTGCACTCCTGCGTGTGAGCATGCAGCCGGGACGCAGAGCTGGGACGCGCCCGGCAGCCCCAGCCCAGGCCAGGGCACGATGGTGGCAGACACCCCTTGGTGCAGGAGCGAGCCGGGGCTGTGGCTGGGGCACGCGCAGGCGTGAGCACAACGTTGTGTGCGGTGCTGCCCAGGAGCGCACTGAGCTGGGGACCACTCAGCCTGCACGCCGTGGGGTTTGGGTATGGGAGGGAAGCACACCTGTGTGTGGGTGTGGCAGACCTGGAGTGTGAGAGAGGGGCCCGGGTGCCACTGTGGGGAGCGTCTGGGCGTGGAACTGTGTGTAGGGCGTGATGAGCTCCCGCGTGTGCGTGAAGTGCTCTTGTGGGGAGTCATGTGGCACGTGCAGGAGCAGAGGGCTGGGCGTGTGTGACACAGGCTCACGGGTGCACACCTGGTCCCCTCCCGCTGCCCGCTGCCACACCTGCCGCACCCCCTCCCGTCGGGCCTGTGCCAGAGACAAACCAGTTGGGTGACCCCCAGACAGAAGGGCCCATTGTTAAGGTGCTTATCGGCTTCGCCTGTGGGGCCCCTCCACAGCGGCCCTGCTTCCCTGCCTCCACCGGAGCTTGGGTGGGGGTCTGCAGCTCCAAGGCCACCAGAGGCCCCTGTGGCCAGCTGGGTTCAGTCTCTCAGTCCACTCTTAAGCCCTTTGCACACACAGCCCCGAGCCTGGGTGTTGACACCTCATGGGAAACTGAGGCGCGCCACTCCCAGACGTGGCCGTGGGGCGAGCAGGGGCTGGCGGCTGGGAGGGCTCAGTCCCCGAGGCTTCCCTGCCTGTCTCCCTTCCTGGTGGTCAGGCCACCAGCTTTCAGATCCTAGCTGTGACCTTGGGCGAGTCGCATGGCCTCTGGGCTCAGTTTCCCATCTGTAAAACGGGGACAAGGGTGTCACCTGCTTCTTAGGGCTCTTGTCAGATAAAACGATTTAATTTGTGGGACGGGTGTAGAAGGGGTGATGCCCAAAGCAGGTGCTCGCCAGGGGCGAGCAGGGGTCTGGGCGGGCAAGGCCACGCTGCCCTCCTCGCTCCCTTCCCTCTGTCACCTGGCTTTCCTTTCTGTCCTCAGCATGCTGGCTGGCCCTGGCCACTGTGTTTCTCTGCACGTTGTGTCTTGGTCCCACAGAGTCTTCAGGGCCTGGGCACCACAGGTGCCCGCTTTGCCTTAGGTGAGTGGGTGGACACCCGTGTGGATGGAACCTGCAGGCAAGGCCAACAGGAGACAGACAGCAGAGCTTCGGGGGCGGCAGTGGCCTTCCGCCAGGGGCTGGTGCTGGACTAGAGTGGCGGACAGAACCCTGGACCCTGGACCAGGATCCAAGCCACCCTAGGCCCAGCTCCCATTCGTTGATGTGTCAGGAGCGCCCTCCAGGGTGACTCTTATCAGACCCCCAGACTGGTCCAGGACTTGTTTACACACCCGGGTACCAGAGAGCTCACTCCCACCAAGACCACCAGCCAGAGTCTGCGCAGGGCTGGGGTGTGGGCAGTGGTAGAGGGCCTGCCTGGCAAACCCGACACAGTGGGTTCCGTCCCCAGCACCAAGAGAAGAAGGAGAAAAGCAATACCACTGACAGCGGCAAGTCCCCATTTGTGCCTCAGTTTTCCCAGCTGCAAAATGGGAGACCCATGGGGGCTTGGCATCAGGCCTGGTATACAATTGGAGCTTAATGAAAGTCCCCTCTCGCGTACTGTTTGGTGGTGCAGCCATGTGCATCCATGCGCTGGTGGGATGCCAGGAGGACGAGGAGCCATTCCAGGGCCGGGCTCATGCAAATCACATGCAAATGAACGCAAATCGCGAGCAGCTAAATGCCCGCGCGCTGGGGCGGCCTGCGAGGCTCGCGGTGCGCGCGTGGGGGCGCCCGGGGACCCGAGCCCCGCCGAGCGGCCGGGAGCTGACCCGGCGTCCGGGCTCGTGTAAATGTTTACACCGGGCCGGCCGCCAGGCTCCGCGCCGCGACACAAGGCTGCCGGGCGGGAATGTAAACGCGGCAGGGCCGCCCTGGGTCCGGGAGCGCCCAGCCGGGGTGGGGGTGCGCGGGACGCTGAGCACTCGCTGCACGCAGGAGCCACAGCTCCAGCAACCAGTGCCCTCGTGGAGGCAGCTCAGGGAACTGTGGGGACCCAGCAGGCATCCCTGCGGTGGCTGCGGATGTCAGGGGAGGCTTCCTGGGGGAGGCGCAGTCCACCCTGCCCGAGGGGAAGGAGAGCAGGGAGAGTTCCCGAGCGGAGCCTGGAGGCCTGGCCGTGCTGCTGGGCAGCTTTGGTCCTTGGCTGCCCGGTCTGCGCCTCAGTTCAATCTGCCTGGAGGGAAAACAAGCTCAGGAAGGAGCAGGGAGTCTCGCCCGAGGACATAAATATGTGGGGGAATGGCCTCAACCTGGGTTCCTGCCTGCACTCTGTCATAAGCTCCAGCTGCCCTCCCCACCTTTGTCCCACAGTGCCACCTTCAGGAATGCTCTCACCCTCCTCCTTTCATGGCTGCAGTCAAGACACCAAGCTCTGTGCAGCCTCAGGGCCTTTGCACTGGCCGTTTGCCCCACCACGCACCATTCTCAGCCCCCAGGCCAGCTCCTGCTGTTAGCTCCTGGTGTCACCTACCATCAGCTACTCAGGAAAACACTCTGGGACTGGAGTTCGTTGCACCTGGCACGAAGCCCACCTGGCCTCAGGCAGCCTTCTGCACAGCCTAGTGCACTGGCTCTTTCATAAGCCATGGCGAAGTTACGTTCAGCATGAAGTGTTCAAAGTCAGGGGCCCCACTGTTCAGGGTGCCTGGCCCACTGCCCCGTCTGCTGCTCAGGGCAGGCGGCTGACCATCCCGTGCCCACAGGCCGAGGATGCAGCGCTGGAAGGCGGCGGCCCTGGCCTCGGTGTTCTGCAGCTCCGTGCTATCCATCTGGATGTGTCGGGAAGGCCTGCTGCTCAGCCACCACCTGGGACCCGCGCTGGCCCCGCTGCGCCGCCTGCCTCGCACCCTGGACGCCCGGATCGCCCGCCTGGCCCAGTGTAAGCCCCGACCCTTTGGCTCGGATCCCCCATGTGGGGTGACCATCCGGTGGCACTGCAGGCAGTGGAGCTGGAGGGGGTCACGGAGTTTTGTGTTTCAAGATGGAGGTGAAGGAGGTACAAGTGCCCACCCCGGGCCTGGGCCTGGCCGGTGGGGAAAGATGGCTGCTGGGAACCGGGGTCCTTGGACTTAGCTGTCACAAGGAATTAGGCTCTGGCCCTGAGGGACTGTGGGGGCCAGATGGAGATTAGACCTAGGCATTCGGCCCAGGCGGCCCCCACAGCGCAGCAGGGGATCGGGAGAGGGAGGCTGGATCCAAAGCCCCAGTGACCTGCCTGGTGAGAAGCCACAGAAACACCAGGGGCAGGAGGCCTGCGCAGGGTGGGACAGCGGAGGGGCACCGTGGAGGCATGGAGCCCAACGTGGCAAGGGCCTGGCCCAGCTCCCCCAACTGTCCCTGGTGCCTTGAGCTACGAGGACTGTGCGAGGGCCCTCCCCCGTGTACAGCGCACATGCCCACGCGTGCGCCTGCGTGGGTGGCTGGGCTGTAGGACGCGTGCGTGGTGCCTGCGAGAGCTGGGGAGGGCAAGTCTGCGCCCGCCCTTGTCAACCCACACAATCCTCCTTTCTTGTCCTCACAATGGACAAGGGCAGCCCCCGGCATGAGCTCCACTCCACCCCTCTGAGCTGAGAAGTCTTCTAGGACACTGGGTCCCTGAGACCTGGGCGGGGCCCCCCAAAGCCAGTGCTGCAGACCTGGGGCAAAGCACGCCTGGTGGAATTTCAGCCCCAGGGAGGGTCCCAGTTCCATGGGCAGGTGCCTGCCTGCCCTGCATCCGGTCCCAGGGAGAGGCGTTGATCCCCCAAAGCCGCAGCGCTCTAGGCCCTGAGCTGATGCACAGATGGTGGGGTTTCAAACTCGGGGAGGTGAATGGGGCATCTCCTCTCTGTGCAAGTGGCCAGCCCTGCTGGAGGGAGGCAGGGACAAACACTAAAAGATTGTTTGTCAATTATTTATTAGTGATTCAGGTTCAACTGTGCATCAGTATTTTATCTGTGAACCCCATGAATAACTGCCCATAGACATACTTCTGGGGTGGAGACAATTCTGGTGGGGTTCTAAGCTCCGGTTGGGCTCGCTCCTAGCCCCACTGAAAGCCTTATGCACCCTGTCCCCACCCTGCGATTAAACAGGTGGGACTGTGCAGCTCAGGGGTCCCTCTGTTCCCACCTTTCAGTCCCTGCCAGGACAGGGACAATGCAAGATTCTTTGAGTAGACAGGGAAACCAGGGCCACCGCCTGCCTGCCTGGAGCTTCAGTAGCGAGTGTCTGAGCCCAGGTTCGTCTGGTTTCCGAGGTCCTGGCTGGGAACAGATACCCCAGGGCGGCGGCAGCCAGCCCCTCCTCCTAGACCCTCCTGGAAAGCTCATTCTTTTGCCAGCCAGGTGCAGCAGCCTTGGGGCAGGACTAAAGTCGGAATTCCCTTCCAACCTTCATTGTGACTGCCACCTGCTCTGGGGTAGGGAGGCCCCTGCCTGCAGTCTCACCTCCCCCGCCCCTGCCATCCGTCCCAGCATCTGCACTGCTCTCCTGGGGATGCAGGGTGTTGGGGCAGGGCCAGTCACTTGCGTAATAAATTTAGGCTTCAGGGTCCTGGGAATTTGTGACTCAGGCACCTCCTGGAGACTGTGGGAGAAGAGGGCTGGGATTGGGCCAAATTTGGGCTGGGCAACTGATGGAAGCAGGGAGAATGTCCTTTGCCTCCCCCCCCCCACCACCTGCTAAGTGGATGACCTTGGGCACAGCTCTACCTCTCTGATGCTCATTTCCTCCCCTGTAACAAGAGGGTGGAGCTGACGGTAACTGCTGCCACCCCACAGGACAGGGTACCCAGGCAGTAGGCGCAGTACCTGCTGCTCCCCTGTGTTCTGAGAAGTCCAAATACTGTGGTTTCTTAGGCAGGGACACTGAGACCTGCTGCACAGCGCAGCAGCACGGGGAGGCAGACAGCCCAGGCTCAGAGGGGAAGAGGCTCTGGGTGGGGCCCAGAGACAGTTTTACCTACTCAGCGCAGCTAAGGAGTGAGGATAGGGGATTGGGAAGCAGCCCCTCAACACTGGCTGGAGAGGGTGTGCCAGTGCCCTTGGGCAGCCCAGCACAGGGGTGGAGAACAGCTGGGGGCCCCATGGGGACATGGGTCACAAACAGCCCCAGGGAATTCTTTTCTGCAAAATGGAAAAAGACACCCGCAGCAGTGCAGCATGGATGGGGGTCAGATCGAATTAGGCGAGCAGATGGATCAAAGGGAGATGGGCAGTAATGGGAGGGGACAGGGAGCCCCAGACAGCTCAACTCAACGGGAGGTGGGGGAGAAGGTGGCCCTGGACACCCAGAAAGGGTGAGGCTGGTTCTGAGCAGCCCGTCACAGAGGCAGGGGTCCAGAGAGGGGTGCTGGGTCTGAGTGCGCACCTGCCCCAGTGCAGCCCAGAGATGGCGCGCGGGCAGCAGCAAGGGCGGGAGAATCGGGATGTGGGAGTGGGGGGAAGGGTCCTCTGTGCGGGGAACAGCGGGAGAAGGGGCGCCCACCCGCTGATCTCTCTGTCCTCTCTCCCCTCACAGACCGTGCGCTGCTGCAGGGAGCCCCGGACGCTGTGGAGCTGCGCGAGCTGACGCCCTGGGCCGGCCGGGCCCCGGGTCCACGCCGTCGGGCAGGGCCCCGGCGGCGACGCGCGCGTGCGCGATCGGGAACGCGGCCGTGCGGGCTGCGCGAGCTCGAGGTGCGCGTGAGCGAGCTGGGCCTGGGCTACGCGTCGGACGAGACGGTGCTGTTCCGCTACTGCGCAGGCGCGTGCGAGGCGGCTGCGCGCGTCTACGACCTGGGACTGCGGCGCCTGCGCCAGCAGAGGCGCGTGCGGAGGGAGCGGGTGCGCGCCCAGCCCTGCTGCCGCCCGACGGCCTACGAGGACGAGGTGTCTTTCCTGGACGTGCAGAGCCGCTACCACACGGTGCGCGAGCTGTCGGCGCGCGAGTGCGCCTGCGTGTGACCCTACCTCATCTGGCCGGCGAATGGGCGCCCAGGCCCTCCCTCCCCGACGGCACCCAGCGGCCCGCAGGGAAACAGACTGCACGTGCTCGGAGGATGGGAAGATGCCGTCGAGCCCACAGACTCTCGCGATAACTGAGTTGAGATAAAGTGTGGGAAATGGTGCCTGGCTCTTCACTAAGAAGGGATGAGGTTGTGTGGGGAGGGGCACCGTCTCCATCCAGAGAAGGGGAGCAAGTAGGGGTTCCACCTGCAGGGCGGAGGGAGGCTCCCGTTTGCTTTGGGGGAAAAAAGTTGATATAAAGAAGGGAGCGAAAAAGAAAGTAGGGTGAGTGGTGTGAGGTCACAGGGACCGCTTTTCCCGTCTCCCTGCGGGTCCCTTTGCCCCCCCTCCGCCTGTCTCCCCCTCCACGCCTGTGCCCCCCCGCCTGTCCCCCCCTCTGCCTGTCCCCACCTCCACCTCCCCGCAGTGTATGCTTTTGAGGTGACAGAGGGGGCTTTGGGGTTGATAGAGGGAGGTGGAGCCACCGTGTGGGTGAAGAGAGTGAAGTCTAGGTGTGTACCCCGACCTCCATCGCCTAGAGGGCCTTCTCGGGTCTGGTCCGCCTCCACCAGCACGAACTCAAGCCACTATCTCCTTCCACCAGCTAAAAATATCCACATGCCGCTTACCTCCCGGAGGGGACAGGTCCAGGGCGACGCCAGCCCCATCCAGACCTAAGCCGGCGCCTGCTGGGGCAGAGCTGTGTCCCCAGGGACCTGGGTCCTGGGCCCATAAAAGCCTTGGACTGGCCTCGAAGGGGGATTTACGACGAGCCCCGGCGGAGGATGGAAAAAGCTCTGCGTGGTGTTTGGATTTGCCGCGGTGTCACCTTGATGCTTGGCAGGCCCAGACAGCGCGCGGGGGGGGGGGGGGGGGGGGGGGGG